CTAAAGCCAAACTTTAGCAAGTGGGAGGAGGATATGGTTAGAAAAAGAGTAAAGTGTAAAGGACACAGCACAAGAACTGGTAAAAGCTGGGCGTGGTGGTGCACACCTGTAATCCCAGCACTCCGGAGGCTGAGGCAGGAGGATCGAAGCAAGTTCAAGACCAGCCTGGGCTGCAAAGTGAGCTCAAGGCCAGCCTGAACTGCATAGTGCGACCCTGTCTCAAAAAGACCATAAAAAACAGGAAAAAAAAAAAAAAAAAAACCCCCGAAAAACAAAAAAAAACAAACAAACTGGCAATAATCAAGAAGTGGGAGTCAGGAGCCCACAGGAGCACAGAGTCAAAGGAATATCCAGAATGCTGGGCTTGGGTGGGTCCCTGGTCTCTCCGAATTGCTTTTCTTGCTAGCCTCTCCTCCTGCAGCTGTTCATTCCCTTAAAGGTACAAACCTTCCTGGGATATCTGGACACTCCTTTGCCCAGCAGTCTGTGACTGCATACTCCTACATATGCACACACATGGCCAATGGCAAGGCTAATGAGCATCATTTAAGGGCAAAATCATTGGCAACTCACACCAACAGTCAAGTCTTCTAACACTGTAATGCCACCTCAAAAATAACTTTACCAAAGCCAGTAGCCAAAAGCCCGCACATAGGTTTGTTTGGCTGCCCTCCCTGATCCTGTACCTCTTAGCACAAGGGCTACAGAGTCCAAAAAAACTGGAAAAGCAAGAGGAGCTCACTGCCCAGAACACAGCCTCCCTTTGATCTCAAGGTCTTTCTCTTCAGCTGCAGTTCAGGCACAGGACCGCGGCCTTAGCCCCTAACCCTGTCTTCCGTTTTCTGCCCCATTTCAGGCTTTTGAACTTGTAGAGGATTTTGACTCTGCCTGTCTGCTTTCATTCCTTCTCCCCCTGCCCACTTCAAGAGGAAAACCCCAACCAGGATCGCTAGGGTCTGTGTTGTACTCAGCAGTCGCTTGTTTGTAAGGAAAAGAAACTCAGTTGGACTAGTAAAAAGGTCCAGACAGTGTGGCAATAGGACCTTTCCCTGCCTCTGTTTCTATAGTAAGTAGGTCTCACACACCAACGTGAATGTGAGGCCACTTCCTGAATAGCAGTCCTAAGGGAAACTGTAGGACCAATTTCATCACTTTTAGACCCCTCACCTGGATCACAAATAGTTTAAGGGAGGCAGAATTTAGAAAGAGAGAGGATTGTGGAGCAGATAAAGGTGAAGAGATAAACTTGAAGAGAGTTATTGTCTATTTTCACTGTGAAATGGGACAAATACAGGGACCTGCCAAATGAAGGAGATCAGATCACATCATCCCAAAAGATGCCATTTTAGCTTAGTGATGATTTTGAGCTGTAGACAATTGAGAAACAGCAGATGCATGAAGCGGCCTTTGCCTCCCCCACTTCTACCAAAAAGCAGGGCATAAATTTCCAGTGTGTTATGGTTTGTGTCTGGGTGTCCCCCAAAGCCTCATGCGGTCATGGGGCAGGCTTTTAGAGTTTGATTGACTGTGGGTGTGAGAGCTACACCCGCCCTGGGGTGGATAGTTTGCATATGTAAGGGAGAGAAAGAGGGTGCTTCTGGCCATTTCCTCTCTTGTGTGCTTGTTGTTTCTGCTGTGTTCTGCCACCATAAGCTGTAGCCCTCTGCCATGTGCCACTCTGCCTTATAATCTGCCAAGTACAGACTGAAACCTCCACAAACTGTAAGCAAAATAAACTTTTCCTTCCTTAATTTTGGGCATCAGGTATTTTGTCCCAGCAACGAGAGAAAAGTAACCAAGACACAGTGGAAAAGGTGTCTTCCTTCTACCAGGAAGAGGAAAACACTCTTATCTCAGGAAATGTGGAGTTGATGCCCAGGTGAATCTGTATCAACCAACTTTACTCAAGGAACCGTTTTCTTCAATTAGTTTCCATTTGTATTTCCTAAACTTTTTTCCACAAGTCATTGCCCTTCATCCAAACACATTTTTCTTCCTTTTTTTTTTTTTTGAGACAGGGTCTTTCTATATAGTTCAGGTTGACCTTGAGTTTACTAGGTACCCCAGGCTGGCCTCGAACTACTGGGGATCCTCCTGCCTCAGCCTCCTGAGTGCTGAGATTACAGGTGTGCACCACCACTCCCAGCATCCTCTATCTTTTAATGTCTCCACAACTTATCACTCTTTGTTAAAATGGTTTATAATCTTCTGGGTCTAATTGCCTCTTTGGAGTTTTCACTTCTTTCTATCAAGGCCCTAGGTCATCTAAAAAAGTTAACATCAAGTAAAATTTGTGTTGGAAATGGTGGCACACTTCTGTAATCTCAACTACTCAGAAGGCTGAGGCAGAAGGATAAGTTCAAGGCAATCGGATAATTTAGCAGTTGGGAAATTTAGCAAGACCCTATCTCAAAAATATTTTTTAAAGGGTTGGAGATGTAGCTCAGTTGTAGAGCACTTGCCTAGCATGTGTCCTGGATTCAACCTCCAGTATGGCAAATTAATTAATTAATTAATTAAAAAATGAAAATACAATTTGTATGATTTTCTCCTATTACTCTGTCTTTTGTCAGTTTAATGCATAGGCCCAAGTCACAGAGTGGAAGAGGATAGAGGAAAAGTCTCCTCCCCAACACAGATATTATATTAAACTCAAAGGAGATTGCTTTCCAATGATGGTGACCCTCTCCACACTGTGGCCTGGGGACTGATGTCTGCCCTAAAAATCCCCAAGATGAAAGATGACTCACCAACTGCTTTAGCAACATTTATCCAGAACACCCTGGAAGCTGGCTCAGTGTTAGAGCATATGCTTAGCATACCCACCCCTGAAAAATCCCAGCGCCAAAAAGAAGAAGAAGGAGAACTTTCCAGGTACTAGACACTATACTGTGTGTTTTACACATATTAACTTATTTAATTCTCCCAACAACCATGTGTGGCAAGTGCTATATATATTGAAGCCTGAAGGAGGTTTTTTTTTTGTTATTTGTTTGGTTTTCTGAGGCAGGGTCTTGCTATGTAGCCCAGGCTGGCCTCGAATTTGTGGGCATCTTACTGCCTCAGCCTCCTCAGTGTTGGGATTACAGACATGCTCCCCCATGCCCTGTGAAGCCTGAAGTTTTCACTCAGAAACATATTGTGAATATTTTCCATCAAAAAATATTCTTCTAGCTGGGTATGGTCATGCCTGCCCTTAGTTCTAGCATTTGGGAGGCTGAGGCAGGAAGGTTGTAAGTTCAAGACCAGCTTGTGCTATGCAGTAAGACTGTCCCAAAAAACAAAACCAAAACAAAACAAAACAAAATCTTCTGTATATGGATTTAATGACTGTGGCTCAATTTTCTTTTGCAGAGCCTCAAAGCCTCATTGTTAACTACATAGGTTCTGGAGTTAGCCTGCCCACTGTCCGTTTTCAAGCCCACCTCTGCCAGTTATATACAATGTGAGTCATTTTTTATAAAGGAAATTAATATATAGAGCCCAAGTGTTGGCAGCCTTGATCTCCCCCAAATCTCCTCCCCAGTAAGGTCACCCTTTGCTCATTAATACTTCTTTTTTTTTTTCTTTTTGAGACAGGGTTTCACTATGAAGTTCAGGCTGGCCTCGAACTCTCAGCAATCCTCCTGCCTCAGCCTCCCGAATGCTAGGCTTACAGGGATGTTCCATCATGCCCGACTTCATTAATACTTCTTAAACCCTTTCTATCTGCCAGAAACTGAAGATACATCGATGAACGAGACACATGTATTTCCTGCCTTGATGGAGTTTGGATTCTGGGGAAGGAGGCAGACAGAAACAAGTAAAAACACCAACGAAGAAAAAGTATAAAATAATTCAAGTGATAAATCCTATGACGGAAATGAGAGGATGTTGAGTTGGAGAAAACAACAGTTCTTAGGAAATTAAAATTGGCTTGGTATTCAGGGTCCCTCCCAAGACTTCTGAGGGTGTGGCTCGGGGTAGAGGACACTGAGTGTATGACTTTTATGATACTCTGGCTCTAATTCCTTCTCTGGGATTATTCCAACCTCCCTGTCATGTACTAGATTCCTTGTACAGACAAGTAGGACACGGAGAATCATGCACGAACCGGGCACCACCCCTTGGTACCTCGGCCCCCACTAGCCCTTTTCCCCTGCTTGGTCTTCCTCCACCATTCCTTCCCATCACACCACGGGAGACCCCTGGGGGTCCCAGCAGACTGAATTCTCCCTCAGCTGCCCTCTTGTCTGAAACTGTCATCAGAGGACCGGGAAAAATAGGCCAGAGGTCCCAAATCCTGGCCCTGTAGTGTATTAGTCATATATCCTGGGGCAAAGGATTTCATCATCTCTCTGCCTCGGTTGGTCTTTATGCAAAATGTGATTATTAATATTCTTAACCTTGTAGAGTTAATATGTGCAAAGTACTGAGAGTAATATCTGACACATTATGAAATATTATCATTAGAAACTTTTCCATGATGGGCACCATAACTCATTTAACCTTCATAAGAACATGCCAGGCAAGGTAAGTGGTATCAGCCACTCACAAGGGCACTTAGCGAAGCTTAGAGAGGTCAAGTCGCTTTGGGCTCAGGTTTCCACAGCAGGAAGCAGCTGACCTGGGATTTATGCCAAAGAGGGCGAAACTGCATATGCCCCTTTCTTTCTTCCACATTATGCCACTCCCACCCTGTACCAAAACAAGCACTTCCTCTCCCCAGCTTCTCTTGATCTTGGCTTAATTCCTCCCACTCCTCCTTCTTCCAAGACATTTTGCCAAAGAAGTCCTGGTAGGTCTTTGCAGGCTCGTGATTCTGTTCCTTTTCAAATGTAAGGCTCAAGCTGGGCGTGGTGGTGTATGCCTGTAATGTCAGCACTCGGGAGGCTGAGGCAGGAGGATTATTACAAGATGGAGGCCAGCCTGGGCTACAAAGTGAGCTCAATATGTCTGGTAATATGTCTTTTACTGTATTAATATGACATATTAATAATATTAATAATCACATTTTGCATAAAGACCAACCGAGCTCAGCCTGAACTGCAGAGCAAGACCCTGTCTCAAAAAGACAAAAAAAAAATCAAATGTAGAGCTCTCAGGTATTACGTCATCTCATTCTCCTCCTGCCCCGCATTGCGGGTACTGTCTTACCACCTTCAGAAATTTTCTAGTGCGATTAAAGTTTCTTCTCTAAATTGTAAAATCTTGGCACACTGCATGCATACAGGAGCTTAGGAATCGATCTGAGGTTTCATCCAGCATTTACTGTTGTTCCTTTGACGGGCTCTTCCACATTCCAGATCTGTCGGTGTCAAAGCTGGGGGAACTGGATGAGAAACATAGGCATGGGTGTTGCAGAAAAGAGCAGTAGCAGCAATGTGACAAGAAGAACATCCTCAATTTTCAAAATATTTACAAAGGGTGTGTGTAGTTTTTTCTAAGTTCCCTCTTCAAAGAAGTTATCCTGCTCCAGGTCCAACAAACAATGGCAAACCCTGTCCATCTTTTCCAAAAGAATGAATTACCTTATATGCTAGTAAAAGCACGAATTACCTTATATGAATTACTTTATATGTTAGTAAAAGAAAAAATAAGTATCATAGTGTGGTAAAGATATAACAAAAGCAGTGCTTACACAATTTGCTGGTGGCATGTCTAGCACAAACCTTTAAAAAGCATTTGGGGGCTGGCGATGTAGCTCAGTGGTAGATGTGCAAAGCACTGGATCCAATCCCCAGCACTGCAAAAAATAACATATAAGAATTTCTCAATATGTTTTAGTGATTTCTCTCCCGGAACTTTAGTCTAATTAAATCATATTAGAGATAAAACAGAGCAATGAAAACTCAGAAATGACCTACACATATAATCAAAAACTGCAGCGAATGTTTAAGAATTTTTTAAAAATATGTTACAGTAAAAGACATATTACCAGCAATTCCTCTTAAAATAGTCCCTTTACTAACACGCTATCATTCTTGCCACTTTCTTTTTTTCTTTTGTTTTTTAATTTTTAAAATGTCCTTTATTTATTTGTAGTGCTACTTTCTGCAGCAGTTCTGGAAGTGTCCTTAGGTTGCGCTAGTGTAACAGCTGTTTCCACGTCCTGAATCAGTGCCGCGTGCTGTTTCACCTCGCGTTACCTTCCACAGTCGTTTTGATTTTGGACAAGAGCCAGAGTTTGTACAGTGTCAGGTCCAGTGAACACAATGGGTAAGGACACAGCGTAATGTTTTCACGAGGCTGCCTTTCTATTGGATGGCTCTTGACAGTGGCATTCACTGTATTTTTAATCACACTTTGTGAAAACATGAGAGAGGATTTCCAGAACTGCTTCAGAAAGATGCAAGAACAATGGGATAAATGTGTTCAAAGCAAGGTAGAATATTTTGAGGGGGATTAAGACAATGCATCTTTTACTGTAACACATTTTTAAATTTAAATATTCACTGTACCCAGTGAATATTTAAATGTTTTGAGCACCTATCTATCTATCAAAGATATTTTGAGTGCTTATATTGTAGCGGGTCTCACGTTACAAACTCAACACATATTATTTCATTTAAGCTTCTACACAATTCTAGGAGATATGTGATGCTTTACCCTTCACATGCCAAATGGGAAATTGAGGCGACAGGAAGCCATCTAGTTTGCCAATAGTTCAACAGAGTAAAAGCTGGGATTTGAACCCAAGCAGTCATCTCTGGGGTCGCATGCTTCTTCACTGGGGCGCCTCTGTTTGGTTTGAGTGAGCAGCTGCTCCTGGTGCACTTCCGGTTCCTAGACCGGCACCTCAGTGTGGTGCTGATATCTTAGTCTGAAGAGCTGTGAGGCGAGGGAGGATTTCATTAGTTGAGGAATAACGAAGATGCTGAACTTCTTTCCCTTCCACACTGGTGCATGGGAAGCCATCGTCCAGGCCTGTAAGGTGTGGGAGGTACCATAGACTGGGCATCTCTTTAAGCTTCCAAGTCTTTCATAGGTGTGGAAACTGGTATTCAGGGAGAACACATGGTCAGCTGAAGGTCACACAGGAAGTAAGTGATCGGTCTCAGTCTGATTCTGCTCCTTTACGGGGCCGTGTCTTTGACAAAGACTCGGACGACAGTACCTGAAATCCACTCCTGCGTGAAGAATGTTGGGCTGGTGGAGGTGGGGAGGATGCTTGACTGCCAGGCCTAGGGGACACTGACTCAACGCCAGACACACTTCCTAGATGGAAAGTCGGATGGGCCCAGCGTGGGCTTGGTGCACACTCACGTCAGGAAGCCAAGAGAGAGGTGATACGCAAATCCTGAAACAGGAGCAATTGTTATAGGCAGCTGAGTTAGATGGAAATATTGTAGGCAGTCAGACAGGGCCAGGCTCTGGAAGGAACCAACATGAAAGACAAGATACCTTGTGAATGGAGGCATATTTGCTGTGGGCCAGACCTCAAGACAAAGGACTAAACGAATGCACCCACACAACTCCCTAGGTGTGAACATCAGGGATTGAGATTCTAAATAGGTAGCGATCACCTTCAAAAAGCCAGGAAGAGTCACTAGCCCAACCCCCTGCAGGAAAAGCCCCTGTTCTGTATTCACGCCCGCTTGCTACATGACTGTGACTCACTTCCCCATTTGATCCGTTTACTCAATTTTACCTGAACTACTGTACTTGTAATCTTATTGGCTGACCATAGCTTTGCCCCACCTTATGCCCACCTTGTAATTTCCCATTTTCCGCCTATCTTGGACCCGCCTCACCTTGTAGAACCGCTCATTCCCTTCCCTGGGAAGGGCAAGGTCCTTGGCGACCCACTCAGGCCCCCTTCTGTCCCTCTCTGGGACAGAAGCTTTCTTTCCATCAATAACTATGTTCTGCTCTTAACCTCCGTTGTTCCTAAAATTCATTCTTTGATTTTAGAGAACACGAACTCATCCCAGATATCATTCAGGGTGGGATTTTCTATTTTCCTGTATCACAATGAGGAAACTGGGTAGGGAAACTGAGGCGGAATCCCACTCAGGGACCAGGCCAACACGGCAGAAGGAAAAGGCTGCTCGGTCATTTGCGGGTCTCCATGCGCCCTCTGCAACACTGTAGCCCCTTTCCTGTGTCCATCACTGCTTTCCCCACAGGAGTAAAAGGCTCAGGTCAAGGACAACGACCACGCACCTGATTCTTCTGGGGATCACCCTCCTGCTGGCCAGCCCACAGGCAAATGGATACAGGAGATAAACTAGTTCTGGAAGGCTCATTCCACTTAACCACACCTCCTGCCCCTGCTGGGCTTGGATCCGGACTGAGCTGTGTGAGCCCACAGGAGGAGGCCCCCCGGAGGTGCTACAGCTTGAGGAAGCAAGCTCAAGGGAGGAAGTGCCCCCCCCCCCGGGGACTTGGTCTCCCACCCTGGAATCATACGAGAAACAAGAAGTTCTGTCCGTGTCTCCAAGCCTCTTACTCCCAGTCTTCTAAAGCCAGGACCGCTGAGGCTGGTGGCGCACACCTGTAATCCCAGCACATGGGAGGCTGAGGCAGGAGGGTCACGGTGAGCTCGAGGCAAGCCTGGGCTACATAGTGAGTTCAAAGCCAGCCAGACCTACATAGTGAGACCTTGTCTCAAAAAATAAAACAAGAAAGGAAGGGAGGGAGAAGAAGCGAGGGAGGAAGGAAGGAAACAGAAGAAAAAGAAGAAAAGAAAGAGAATAAGCCCCTGGCACAGCTTCCCCCTTCCTGTATACTGTTAAGAGGACTAGGAAAGGGATTGTGCCAGGGTAGACAAAAACCAGAAACTCAGTTCTGCATTTCTGTCCCACCCACAAGGCTGCTGCATCCTGAGTCACTTCCCTACCAGCAAGAAAAACCTAGAGTACGTCAGGGTGAGGTCTGCCTGGGGTGAGACACCTCGAGGTGGACGAGGCAGTCCTTGAGTGCAGGGTGAGGTGGCAAACAGGCCACACCACGCTGCAGCCCGAAGCGTCCGCACCAGAAGCACCATCTCCTGCCCTCGGGCCCGGCCCAGCCCCCCTGGGTGAGGGCGGTCAGAGTCTGCACAGGAAGGACAGGAAGGATGGGGACAGGGCGCTAATGGTGCTGTTAGCTCACCAAGTCCTCAGAGCCCCCAACCACAAGAGATCCTCACCTCTCAGCATTTGACAAACGAAGCTTTCTTATTAGTTCAGATTCTCTGCATTAGAATCAATGATTCACTGACGTAAACTGTTCCCCCCAAAAAAATGGAGGGGAAGGAAGGAATACATTTTAAAGCTCAAAGGGTGTGCCTTGGAGTTCAGGCACATAGATAATAACAAACAGTGCTTACCTGGTGCTCTGCATGCGCTAGGTATTGTTTTGCACAACTTTAATTCTTAGGCAACCCCACAGATTAGGTAATAATATAATTCTCATTTTACAAGTGAGAACCAAAGTGCAGAAAAGTTAAATGATTCACCCAGGGCCACACAGCATCTGAACCAAGGCAGACTAGAACCAGAGACTGTGCCTAGGGTCACCTGCTACACAGCTAACTGTCTGGACGGAGGTGGGCCTAAGCAGAATCCAGAATGAGGGCTTCCTGCCTGCTTGCTGCAGATCAGCTCTCTGGTGGAAAACGGCCTTTGCCAAGTCCTGAACTCGTCCCTTGATCTTAGCCAAGAGGCTGAGAAGCAATGCCAAGTTCTGAACTCTTATCTCTTCCATCCGAAAGGACAGCCGGACCGAGACTGAAATTCTAAAATCCCGGGAAAGAGACTCAGATTGGTCCATCTGGCTCAGAGCCATACCTCTCATCCAATCAGGTAGGGCAAATGAGGACAGAGTCACAGCGTAACAGATGTCCCGTCACACTAACCGTGTAAAGATGGGAGAAGCCCTTACCGGAAATATGGGGAGATCTTCCTGAAACGTCACCAAGAAAAATTTCCACCACAGGAAACTGAGGCTCAGGAAGATTGAACAATGTTTTCGAAATCACCAGTTGTAAATGAAGAAGCCTAGATTTTAAACACAGTGTTCCCCCCAGTGGGCCTAATTCCTTTCCTCTATAGCACCTGGCCTCTCCTCAAAAAGCAAGCAACCTCGGAGAGACACAGAGGTAAGTTTGCAAGTTATTTTTCACTCATTCACTGTTTGTTAAGCCCTTGTTATATAGCAGGCACTGTTCTGGGCACTGAGATTCCATGATGAACCAAACAGACAAACACCCCGGCTCTCACCGAGCTGACAGCCTAGAGACTCTGCTGAGTGAGGACAGAGGCCCATCCCAGACACACGCTCCTTGATGGAACCCAGAAAGCACGAAGCTCAGGGAGAACTGGAGCTTTGATGTCTTTAGTAGACACTGGCTCCTTTATGAGCACGACTCACTCTCCTGTGCATTGCAAAAAATGACACCACTTCCTACTTTCTCCACATCCACACCCTTCCTCACAAGATTGCAGTGCCCCATCAGTCTGCTGCTGGGCTGAGTCATGTGACTTGCTTTGGCCAATAGGATATTAGGATGGAGAATGTCCCCTAAAGGCCTGTGTTAAGGTCTGGTCCCCACGGTGGCACAGGAGGGAGGGGTAATAGAACCTCTAGGAGGCAGGGCCTCGTGGCAGGTCTGTAGGTGGCTGGGGATGTGCCCTTGAACAGCACTGTGCAACCCTGGTTCTTCTGCTTCCTTCTCTGCTTCCTGGCCCATGAGGTGAGTGGTTTGCTCCCCGACATGCTCACGCCATGATGTCTAGCCCTCTCCAGAACCTAAAACAACGGAGTTACCCGATCCTGGACCTCAACCTCCAGGACCTGGTGTGGAGGACCACCTACGCAACTCTCCCTGAAGGAGGAGCAAGTGTCTCCATTTTGGTTGAACCTGGCCCTATTTCCACGTATTGATGGGTACAGAGCTGGCTGGGACTTTTCCTTATCCCTTCAGTTGGCTTTAACCAAGCAAGTTGGTCCAGTCAAGAGCCGCTCTGTAGTCTTTGAAGCAAGGTGACAGGGCAGCATTACCCCACCACTATAGCTCCAAAAAAAACCATATGTGAGCTGGGTGGAATGGAGAGCTGAGCCGTGCACCACGCTGTTGGCTGGGACTGAACCTTGAGGTAATAGGCGATGACTTCCCAGGGCATAAAGGATTAAGCATCAGAGCTGAAGCACCCCCCACAAAAAAAAGAGCTGAGGCACCGACCCCAAAACATTAGACCCTATCTCAATTGTGTTGTGCAGGTCACTCTTTCTGCATGTCCCTCTCTCTGCATACAGCAGAGGTGATTTCAGGCCTCCTACTTAGCCCAGCTCACAGCACTCACCTACTTACTGTCATTCTCATAGTCACTCATCCTCAAGCCACTCCATTCTTCATGAATTAATAAAACTCAGGTTCGGTCTTGAGTCAAGGCCTTTGTTTCAGTTAAGCAACATCGTAGCTGGGCTTAGGACCCCTTGGCTCCCCATAACTACAAATATGTCTTAATGTCTTTGTTTTCACCATGGGTTGCCCCAGGAGTGGTAGATTGGAATTAACTCCATGGAATTCCAATAACTTTTCCATGGGATTACAAATACAAACTTCCCAGACCTCAACAAGGACTGAGAAGGGCTCTCTATACCATAAGCCAAAATAAACACTTTTCTGTTTTATAAGTTGCTTGCCTCCAGTATTTCGCTATAGCAAGGAACTGCTGACACACCATGTTCATTGGGACTTTAAAAGCTCACATGATAGGTTTACCCTCTCTCATACCTCTGCCATCACTCAGGAGAACACGCCAGACTGTGCTACTGAAGGAACAGAATCAGAGGCCCGAGCTTTCCCAGCCAAGGTCAAACCAGATCAAACAACAACCAGCCAACTTCCAGACATGAGAGCAGGTCTAGCCCAGACCAGCAAGGCTGTCTAACCGATCGTAAGATGCAGGAGCAAAAAGAGCTTATTGTTGCGTGCTTCTGAAGTACATGATTACTTACTCCATAACATTACTGGGGAGGTGTCTATCCTCCCCCACAAGGATGCATTCATTTAAGTAACTGAAAATGACTGATTCCACTAAAGAAGTCACATACTGAGCTGGGTATGGTGGACGCACCTGCAGTTCCAGCACTTGGGAGGCTGAGGCAAGGTGATTGTGGTTTCAGGGCCAACCTGGGCCACACAGCAAGACTCTGTTTCAAACAAAACAAGATGAAACAAAACAGCCTTATCCTTCTTCCCACCTTGGAAGACTGGCCCATGGTGAAGGCAGATTCAGTCAGACACCCTTTCTTGAGAATTTGAATTGGGAGAAAGCGTGGCCCAGATGGGAATCTTGCTGGACGTCACTCTTCCCGGCGGCAGTGGCAGACTCCAGTGAAAATGTCTACCACCTGGTCCTAGGTCTTTCACGCCTCCCTTGGTTCCTCTCTCTAAACTTTCTCCTCTAGGAACCCATAAGTTGCTTCCCCATCTTTCACCCACATCTTTCCAATAAATTCTCCTTTGCTGAAAACAGGTACAGGTGATGTCTGTGGCTTATAACCAAGCAGTCTAGCTGCTACTCTACCCTACAGACCCCAATTCAAGACCCAGGCGTGCTACCTACCAGCTGGCCACTACCCAGGGCCTGGATAAGCCTATGAACTGCCAAGAGGTTCTTTGCCCTGGTGCCACCCAATAACCTCAGAGAAATGGTTGCAGGACTTGCCCTGAGAGGAGTCCAGTGCCTCTTCTCCTTGTATCTAAGTAGCAAGGATCTGGCCAGGGAACTCATGCTTGGATCATAGGATGTTCCCATGTGGGTCTTTGAACCTTAGACAAAGACACAGGGACACCTGCGGCAATCTCAGTGGAATACTGACAGCAGCAGTGCCAGTGGCATTATCCTCACAGCCAGCTTCTAGAGCATGGCCTTGGCTGTGTTAACTAGCTGCCCACCTTCCTGTTTTCTGAGACTGGTTCACCCACTTTCCTTTCATTCCTGGGGTATACCTGTTGTCCTTCTGAGTCAGATTCAGTTTCATATTTCCAAGAACTCTGCCTAGAGCAGGGCATGGTGGCGCATGCCTGTAATCCCAGCACTTGGGAGGCTGAAGCAGGAGGGTCACTGTGAATTTGAGGCCAGCTTGGGCTACAAAGTGAGTTCAAGGCCAGCCTAAACTACATAGTGAGGCCCTCTCTCAAAAATAAAAGTCTGCCTAGAATATTAAAGATGTACCCATTTTACAGAGGAGGAAACCATACTGGGCTATAATTTTTTACTTGCCTAGAACTCTCATGGACTGATGCTGAGTGCCTTGAGGACGGAAGCTATGTTTGATGCATTTCTATGCTGCTCTCTCCCAGGATAAAGTCTGACAGTGAGCAAGAGCTCAGAGCATGTTTTGGATGATACGAAAGGAGAAGAAGGAAAACAAGAAAATGATAAAAATGGAAGAAAAGGAAAATAAGAACTTACCGCCCCCCCATCCCTCTGAAGTCAGGCCAGCCATTGGCCTTTTCAGATTCACTTCCAAAGGCTTCAGGAAGCAGGTGAGCCTCAGGCTCAGAAATGGCAGAGTATCAACAGTTCTCCCACCTCAGAGGACAGCAGA